AGGAACGAAAACAGCCAAATTGTCCAGCAATGGCAGACTATAAGAAATTATAGCTTTTCCATCCATGGAATAGTTTGCAGTAGCAAAAAAGAAGAAAGAGACTTCTTGTGTCCTGATGGAACCTCCCGGATACACACGTTTTTTAGAGATGAGAAAAGGAGCTGAAAAGTACAGTCGGTGTGCCATTATTTTCATAAACATAAGAGGAAAGGTACAAAAAGAATATGTATCTGCATTTTCTCATCTATGTGCAGACTATCTCAAGAAAGATGCCCAAGAAACTGCTAACAACGGTTGCTTGTTTGGAGGGCAATGGATGGGTGAGACGCAGAGGTGGGAGCCTTCCCCCCCCCCATAAACTCTTTTAAACCCGAATTTTTGCTCCTGTGAATGGTTATCTATTGAGAGGAGAATAAGGAGAATAATTCAAAAGGAAACAAAATAATTTTTAAAACATCGTGGTGGCAGCATGCATCTTTACACGCATCGCCTTGACAATCCTGTGACCGAAACCCACCAAGTATGTCCCCACTTTTCCAACGAAGGAAACAGGAGTTTAGAGACGTCAAGTCAAGCAGTGCAGGGGTAGAATGGGATGGGGGACTGGAACCCTGCTTACCCTGCCTTTCTCTTGCCAGCCCCTCAGTCCTCCCAGCCCATGTTCTGGGCTCTGGTTCACTTCCTCCGGCCCCCACCCCCCCCACCCCGGCTCCCCAGAGCGGTGCCCTTCCACAGGGACCACACTCCTAGGCCCAACCCCAGAAATCTACCACCGGGAGCTTCGCTCAGAGGCCAGGGGTGGCAGCTCCCTGGAGTCTGACAGTTCGTCTCTGCTTAGAGCCACCAACAGGAGGGTGGGTGTGCCACCATGCCCCGCGGCTGAACCCAGCCCGCCCTGGCCCCCCAGGGCCTCCAGCCTGTACCTGTCAATAATGACCGGGTCAGAGGGTGTCTCGTTCCGGTTGCCACAGCTCTTCCGGTCACAGCACCGGCTGGGGGAAGATGAGGAGAGAGGGAAGGAGGAAAGGGAGGGAAGGAGAAGGTGTGTGTATGTGTGTGTGTGTGTGTGTGTGTGTGTGTGTGTGTGCGTACGCGCGCACGAGTTCGCACACATGCTTCAGGATGAGGATACTGATGTCCTGTCTCTGACTATGGAATCCCTGGTCCAGGGGACTCATTCCCAGGAGCCTGGGGGAGAAG